GGCGCAATCCCCAGACGATACAGGAGAATCCAATCCATTGGACCTGTCTGTCCTCAGTTACTGTATACCTATAGTCCCTCATCCATCTAATATCCTAGAGACCGTATATCGAGCATGGTGCTATCAGACCCATACAGTTTCTACTCGAGTCTCGCTCTAATCGGATTTTCCCGAAGAATTCTTTTTCCTTCAATCCGAATGACCCTGGTTAGGGATTTGTCTGAGTAAGAACACATGAGATATTCCTCTTATAACACCGAGAGCGGATGATCCTCTATCGATACTCAATAGTTCTCATAAGGTTGGATATCACTCTCGATGATCGACTGTGCTAGATCTGGAATCTCCAGACCTATAAGTCTGGTATCAAAGAGTGGAGTACTCATACAGGACATCCTTGGTATCTTAAGTCTAAGGACTAGATACACCACTGGGATTACGAAATCGTTGTCTGATAATAAAGCATCATCAACTATCCGACATTCCATAAGCGGATCAATTAGTGAACTCATTCTTTAATGAACACTTGTACTATATCCCTAGTGTCTCCACACGAGCAGCTATGAGACCAGCTGCATCCATCACATGGACGGGTATACAACACATCGGTCTGTTTGGTTATCTCGATGTCCCTCTCGAGAAACCTATGACCGTGATTATTTAGGATCTGTGTTAAAAGCGAATCGATCTCATTATCGTGATCTCATCACGATTCGATTCTTATTGCACAGATCCATGGACATCACAATATATTTAAGCAAAGTGATAAAATGCCAAATAATAATAATAAGCAAAAAAACTGCGTGTCAAGTCACACGTGTCGTCACTCATGTGATTGGCTTGCAGGGCACCTATGACTAGCAGTATCATGAGTCAATACAACATTGTTGTCATGGCTGAAATACCTGTGATATGCATTATGTGCCCCATTTTTGTATTGGACCAGCACAGCATGGCAAAACTGGCATGTGTTACGGCATGAGATTTGCAACCTTGCAACAGTGTCACAATTATCAACACTCAACAATCACTCAAAGGAGTGTTACATTTGATAACTCTTGTTAGCAGTCATGCATGGGGAATATATAGGTTTTTGTGTTGCATCAGTAGTTTAATTAGCCATTTTTATTAATGGAAAAGTGCAAAACAATATGTAAATGAGCTGTCCAAACTCCCTGGCTTCTGTAAGTTTAGACAGTTTTACATCGAATAACTACGATAATAATTACGTAGATATAAGTGTTCAGATGTAGCTCAAGGGACCAGTCCTACCTAGAGAGAAGAAATAAAATTGCATTTCTTATTATATATAGTTTCATTGCCTAATAAGAAATGATACTGAAGGTTTCATTCCTTGAGGTAGGACCAGTCCTACCTCAAGGAAAGAGGGTCATCGTCTGCAAATAGATTTTCTTTACTGAAGGTTTGATTTAAAAAAAAAACTATTATGATAGTACTGTAAATTCCTTGTAGCATTTGCAAAATATCATTAGCATTATTAGGTTGTTGGTCCACTCATTATCATATCATGTGGTACTTTCTATGCCAGAAATATTTTGCCATGGCACAAAAGTGTCATGATACTATAAGTAGCATACCAGTGTTTGCTTGATACATGTCACATTGTTGGTGTAGCACCGGTGTTTCCTTATACGTGTTGCATTGTCAGTTCATACTATCTCATGCCATTGTGTCTGATCCTGAAAGTTAAAAAGTTGAGTGCCCAAAGCAAGGTTTTTGAAATCTGAGCATACTAGCTTGTGGAGTTGGTTAACTTTACCTGGGTCTATATTTTTTTGGTTTAAGGTGTACTGTCTGTCAAAATTGCTGATATATAAGGAAAAATTGCAGTTTAGGCATTTTTACTGCATAAATTCAGAACCTAATGATTCTCTTTTGGTTTTATACCGCAGGAACATGGAAGCACATGTAATGTTGGTCCATCATCTACACTATACCCTGAAGATTTTTCTAGTGGTGACTCATATGGTTGGCTTACCCCACAAACAAAAGAAAATTTTCTGGAGTTTCTTCCACTCGAAAGTCTACCAGATGTGCCATGCAGCATTGAAGATGAAGAAAGGGTATGTCTCGGATAGCATTAGCTGGGCAGCATCAGTTTCAAGTTATCTGCTGCATTACAAGTTACTTCTGATGCAACTATTGATAATATTTTTCTTGATAAGATTGGGTCAATTTTTTTCTCTTTTTCCTATGTGCCTAACACTTGGCAGACAAAAATAAAATGCTTTTAGTCTCACTGACCACCTGCTGATGGACCATATTGAAAATACTGTATGGTCGGATAGGAATATGATATCCTTCAAATGAAATGTAATCAGCTGCTAATTGAGGATACATAAGTCATGCAACAATAGAACTCTGGTTATTTTAATTTGCCTGCTTTATTCATTCATAGTTGATATGTTTTCTTTTTTGTTATGCTTTGTTCTGGGTTTTATGGAAATACCCTCTTTAAATATTTAAAGATAAGGCTGCATACATTGAGCCTCTCCAGACTCCGTATTGACGGGAGCTCGTGCACTGGGTGCATCCTTTTTTTTTTTTTTTTTTTTTCCGGTTTTGAGATTTCAATTTTGATTGAGTTTATAATTAAAGTGGCCATGGATTTTGGACCAAAATATTAAAATTGAGTAGCTGGCGGGAATGGATATTATTGTGAAATTCTTGGTGGCCATGACTTTAGACTGCACCAAGGATTCCAATCTGGGGAAGTTTCCAATGGTGGTGCCCAAGTGTGATAATTGTGCATCTTGTTCATATATATTTCTTTGGTAGGAAGGCCATTGCTTATGCCAGGTTACTGTCCTGGTTTTTGGCGGATTGAAAATTCAAGTATCATCTAATTTACTCCTTTCTGAGTTTCTTCGGTTCATTTTTTGGGGTCCTTTTTCTGTGACTTGCTTATTGTAGATGTGCTGATGAATGGCAATGATCATTCAGATGGGAAGGTGGAAAAAAGAAGGGTTTTTCTTTTTGGTGGTGTTGGTGGGGTTTCATAAATGTATTGTCATTGGCACTATCCATACCGAGTTCTGCTGGACTACTTTTTCCGCTGGGGTAATAACCTTGTTTTTTTTCCTTTTCTGATACAGATGATCATGGAAGCAATGATAGAATCACTGAAGGATCTGGAGATGAGGCACCAGCAAGATACACACTCCGCTGTAGATACTGCAACATCCAAATCAGCAGATGACTTGGAAGCTTTCACTGGAGAGTCCGGCGGTCCAAATGACACAGCTGAAAGATCGACATCATCGAGCACAAGTTGTAACTCAACCGTGGATCCAAACCTCAATCAGTCGCAAGATGTTGAAGCAGCTTGCAAGAATTCTGCCAGTTGTGTTACATTAGGTGATGATTGCGGTGAAGTCAACAGAAGCACCTCAGCACAGGATGCTGATGCTGATGCTGCAGCTGGCACACGAGCCACACTTGTTGTTCAGAAGAACCCGACGAGCCACATCATGGAGGGGTTATCACGGAGGTGGGGTCTGAACTTCTTTAAGAACAATCAATAGGGTCGGAAGGCAATGTTCCAAAAAATTTGATATGTATCTGATCGGTAGTTGTTTCTGTGATGTGATGTATACGACGTAAATATGTACCCTTCGCGACCAGGTGTCCTATTCTGATCCCCTCCACACATTAATTCATTGGTTGTAAAAAAGAATGGAATCTAACCAACAATAATTTTTCAGGAGAGCCGCTATTTAATGGCTGTGAATATGGACTACTAGGGCATGCATTGCAGCTTTCCATGTAATTGTGAAATTATGGTTGGTTTTTTTCCCAACAAGGTTGCCTCCATCATGTCTTTGATAGTTTGCATGCATTCTAATGTGATTTACAAAAGGAAGGACTTTCTTTGCAAAGTTTTAGTTGTGCAATATTTGCAATGTTTTTTCTTCCAAGGTATTCATGATGAGTCATGTAACATTCTTGTCGGAGCAATCGATCGTGTTATTATTATTGCTCTATTAATTTTGATATGCGGGTTTGTCAAATTTTGATTGTGTTTGTGATTTCGACTCAGTTGCACGTTTTTTTTTTGTTTTTTTAGCTTCTAACAAGTAATGTATTTTCTGAAACTAATTTCTTTTAATCACGTTTAACTGTGTACGAGGTGTTCTTATATTGCCTCGATATTGAAACCTGACAACCATCAAAACGTTGGAATTCTTCCGAGTTGCTTTCAGTATGGATGATCAACGACGTTATTGATCATACGGGTGGGTGGTATAGATTGATACGACTAAACATGCCCGCACCCTAATTTCGATTGCCGCAAACATTTAAGTCTTCATATTAATGAAAATATTGCAGATCACCAACTGCAGTTGCGTACAATGGTCTTCAGGGGCGAGCGAGTCTTATTTATGAACGAGTCCAAAAGTTCAATGGTGCCTTTTAATGCTAAATTACTTCCGTCGTTTAGATATCCAAAGACCCAAATGGTGCAGGAAGAAAACGGAATATGTTATGACACATGGATCACAAAAGGAGAGAAACAAAGGATCACGGCCACATCGATACATGTCGATTCCACCATTTCAGTTTCGATATAATACCTAGCGGAAGAAAACCTCGGCTCGGTTGTCCTGTGAAAAGGAGAAACAAAGGATCACGGCCACATTGACAAACGTCGATTCCACCATTTCAGTTTCGATATAATACATTGCGGAAGAAAACCTCGGCTCGGTTCTCCTGTGAATACAAAATCTATCGATAAAAAATATCGCTGCCGTAAGTCACTAATCGTTAGTCAAAACCAAGGTTCACAATACCGTACCATACCGATATTTCGACCTGGGCTCGATACCGGTACGGTACGGTATACCGAGCGGTACACCCAGATGTGCCGAGTACTGTAGTACTGCTATAGTGTTACAATGCACTCGGACCGGTAACAGACGGACCGGTACGTACCGCCCATACCGGGCGGTACGATTCGGTACGACAGACCCGACTCAAAACAATATCTGTCAACAGAAAATATCATATCTGGGGCTTGACACGCCTTCCATTCGCATCACTGCCATCGAGGGCATCATTCGTGTCTGCACTCGAAACCGCTGAATTTTCTCCTTTCCCGGCAACATACTGTAACAGCTCTTTCAGAAGTGATGGACAACTGACCTTCAAGTATTTGAATCCTTCAGATTGCACCACCGCTGCAAAATTCATTAGAACACAAAAAAAAAAAAATGTTAAGAGGTTGAGCGACACGTGTTACCTTTAAAGCATTATCTGGGATTTGCTTTGTATGAAAAAAAGGACATATCCGGGATTTGCTTTGTATGAAAAAAGGGCATCCAGTGCACGGATCTCTTGCCGATCATGGGCTCAAGGAAAGTTGAGACATGGAGCCTTATCCTTACAAACAAAGAGGTCATTTTCATGAACAACAATCATATCCTTACCAGGACATGTGAAACACAAACCTTTGATATTTGTTTTAAATGGATGTTAATGCTATTGAATTTATGACAATTCCTTTCATCGATAGACAACATTGATGAAGTGTCATATTCCACTTGATGTATAAAAAATATCAAGTAAATTGTGATCCCATCTATCTTTACAGACTATACACAAGTTTATTTTTACACGAAAGAACTGGAAGGTCTGAAAGCTATAATTGCATAATGAGAACAAGATATCAGTCAAAGGACAATATGATATGAATCAACCACATCCAGATTACCTAAAATATACATGACAAATAACCCATCAACTTTGCTACCAGGGTACCGCCCTGTGCTTTGGAAAGAGATAATTACACTAGATCTTGTCAAAATTGCTCGAACTAAAATTGATTGCAACAAAAGATCAGGTCAGTGACAACTGTTCCAAGACCGGCAGAAATGAATGTTTATTCACAAAGAATTCTGCGGATACAAGGGTTTCATTTCAACTACAAAGGAAGAGTACAATGGTCTGATTAAGTGCCACACCATATGTTAAGGCAAAAATCAGAATAATTCAGCATTCAAAGCCTATTTACGCAGTTCATTGCATTCCTTGCTGACAGAGAAACAGCACCATGAACAGGCAGCTGATAATTTTGTAAATTCTGTAACTATGTACTGAAGATGTAACTATGAATGCATTTAACAGTGAAATTACCTCTTGGGATAGAATACTAAGTGTACCTCTCAAGTTCTGCGGTAATGCAACAAATTTGAGACAAACAGATTTAAGATGAAAACAATGGTGCTGCTCAGCCAATGCTAGAGTGGTGGCCACTGTATTTATAGCAACATCCTCACACAGCTTGACTTCACAAAGTACTTTAAGCCTGTCCAACGCATAGCGGTCAGTAGCAGCAAGCAAATGTTGAGCCATTAGAGTTGAAGCGCACTTTGCATCCCAACCAGCAATCCTTTCCATGTCACATACGGAATCCCAGTATATAAAATGGAGTAGAGCCTGAAAATAAGAACAAGCAAGTTTTGTTTATGTTGTTGGAAAGAGTCGATTTATATGACTAGAAAATGATAAAATGTGCAAGTACCATTGTGCTAAAAAACATAGAATATGGTATAAAGAAGTAATAGATTCCACATACTCCTTTATATATATAATAGTGATAGGACTCAAACATATACCATTGACTATTAACCACTATTTTTATGTCTTACAAAATTGAATTACATGTAGCAAAACCTCAGGCATGCACAAGGGAAAAAAAAAATTAAAACAAACCCTATCATGAAATGATGAGGCCCAAGATTGCAAGCAATTTCATAATATAAAAACATGAACAACCTCCATTCTTCATCGTCATTGCCTAATATAAGATTTCAGTGTTATTGATTCAAATACACTGCAGATGAAATATAGGAAACACCAATGGTCTATAACAATAATTATGTCATTGTCAGAGGTAATCATGCTAAGTTGACTAAATTTCAGTCACTGATTGAACTGAACATAGCTTGTGACCAATATTTCTGTTGTTCTTTAAGTCACAAGTGTTCTATCCAGCCAATATCAGCCTAAAGAAACAATTAACTTCAGAGAAACTATGTAACATATAGGGTGTTAATTTCATTTTACACTTGCTTTTGGGAAGATATGTTATCAAAAGTAAGCTCCACAAACCCCATCCAGAAGCACCTGGGCACTAGAAATTCTTAATTCACAAATCATCTAAAGGAATCTTTTTATGTTCAGTTTTCCATATTAATGAGAATGTGTTGAAGGGTAGTTATAATATAGCACAATGTCAATTTTAATTAAACCTCATTAAATGAATATAAACAGAAACGAAACTGCAGAGTCCATAGTGATAGTGGTACAGAAGAAAATATCAAAATCAGTAGATAAAATATGATCCTACCACATCCTGCATTAATCTTTTGAAAAAACATATTACCAGCAGGTGAAGAGAGGCACAATACACCACTGAGAGGACTCAACCATGTGATATGGATATATAGTTTATTATATTTGACAAATTAAATCATCAAGCTCTCATTTATTGCATTAATTGGTCATAATTTTTTATCTTGGGCAAAGTGAAGTCTATATGTGCATCCTCAAAATGTTAATCTACATGTCAAGACAAATTAATTCATGCCTTATCAGAGAGTGACCCATCATCCTCAAAATGTTAATCTACATGTCGGCGGATGAGGAGGGGCCGAGGGGTGCGAAGACGACGAGAAGTAGGTCGGCCGCGCGGACGTGCCTCCTCTGCCAACCCTACCGCTACCCATCTCGCCAGGCTTAGATCGACACAATCGGCGTCGGATCGACGACGAAGAAAGAAACGCCTGAGGTCTAACGACTTGGGTTTTTCCGTGATAACTCGATCGATTGCGAAACAGCAGCACAGTTCGATCAGGTGGACAAGAACGGAACGCAGAGCGATTCTTATCTGCCCCGCACACTGCACTCGTCGAATCTACCCTCGCAGTGATTGCATATAAAACATGGGCCCACATGAGACTCTTTGCGGGCCACAGCTGCTTTTTGCGGCAAGTTTGTCGGGTTATTAGAAACCAAGTAGGAAAGATACATGTTGGGGGTTCGGTAAGGAGGGTAAATGACAGCGGTCCGGTTTTCTTTCGGGCTAAGTGAGGGACCGGTTTATCCGAGCCAAATTTGTTTTCCATTAAGATTAAACATATTCCAATAATCACACTATCAATCTTTTTAGTGTCGTCTGATGCTACCAAATTTATCTAAGTTACTTAGATTCAGGAAATAATTTATCCCAAAAAAAACTCATAATCACTTTTTCACTAGAAAATACCTTTATATTAAAAATTACCCAATGAGGTCTTTGTTCTATGAATGGATAGGTTGCACATAGTTTTTCTTTTTTTTGGTTAAATTGAACCGGTCCGGTTCGAATAAATATACTTATTCGGATCAAAATTTGTGCCTATTATAATAAGAATTGTATTGATTTTTTTTTATGATAATCTTAGTATGTATATATATATATATATATATATATATATATATATATATATATATAAGCTTCCACCAAGATATATCGAATTTTTACAAATTATAATTCAGTTTATTTTTGAGTGTAATGCTCAACTTTTAGTAAAATATTTCAAATTATTATAATTAATTTTACCATAACATGATTGAAACCGGGATTTTTGTATATGTTTTGAACTTTTATAATTATAGTAGAACATTATTGTAATAAGGATTATATGATTTTTTTGTTTTTATGATGAATTTTAAAAATAATTAATTATAAAAAAAATATATTTTTGTATTAAGAAGTACGTTCATTGATAGGTTAACTTCAAATGCCAACTTAAATTTTCACAACTCCATTCAAAAAGGTTCTAACAATGATTTTAATATATTTTTATGATCTTAAGATGATTAATTATTAAATTTGATATATATTTTATTAATGAATGTATTTAAATTTATTTTTAAGTGTGACTTTTTTCTTTTGAGAAATAATAAGTAATGAAGATGGGATTCAAATTCAAAATATTATAATAAATTATCAAGATTTTTATCAGTTAACTAAAATTTTAAATCCTCAATCTTTTGTAAGATTCCTAATATTTCATCACCAGATCAATGTTTAAGATTAACTTTAATCAAACAAATTAAAATATTCCAATCAAACAAATTTAACATGAGTTTTTTTTGTTTTGGCGTATAACATGGGTTTCCTTAGGTAAATTCTAAAAATAGGTTGAATGTACTGATTTTTTTTTTATTTCCTGACAAATTTAAAAATTTTCTATCAAAATTGATATATTTTTTATATGATGGTGGGAACATAGTGTTTTTCAACTTATTTTTAAGTGTAATATGAGTTTCCTCGAGTAAATGGATGATTAACCCAAATCGGTGTATCGACTTGAACGATTAAAAGAAGATAAAAAAAATATTATTAAGATTAGAGATAAAAATAAAAGTCTCTAAAAAATAACATCATCCAATAAATTTTCAATAGAAGAGTTTTTTCCAAGTATAAAAAAATATGAAGGTTTTTTCTTTATTCTAATGAATGTTATTTGGATCGTTAGTGAGCACTTAGTTGTTTTCGCCATTTTAATACCAAAAAAAGAAAAAAAAAACTAAATCCTCTATATTTGGAAGTAATAGCAGAATCCTTATTTTTTATTAAATTTATATCTATTGAGATTTAAGAATCATTATATTTCTCTGTTTGCTCTACAATAGAATTAAATTTATTTTCTATTCAAACGTGATGTTATAATTTATAATAGAATTGAATCTCAATAATATATTAAAAGGTATGAATAATGGTTTACAATATCATACTATACCATTCGATATAGACAATATATACCAGCCCGATAGAAGACCCGTAAAAGTGATACGTCAATATGCCTTTGTGTCAATATGTACCGTATCCAATTGATCGATATATCGATACAATATATTATTCAGAACTTTAGTATGAATAACTAAGTATGACAATAACTTATAGTTTAAATTTAACCGCCTACTAGAGTGAAAAAAGATAAAAATTAATATTAATGTATTTATATTTATAAGATGATGACGGAGTGATATTAATTCACTGAGAATATAAGCAAATGTTAGATTTCGATGATTGGATTGATAGTAAGATTCTGAGGATTAATTTTTTTTTTGAAGGATAAAATACTTTTGATCTGAAGTTATGACAGACACTTTACTGATGTAATATCAATCTCATGAATGATTTTTCTAAAATATATATATATTTTAATTTTTAATTTTTTAAATAATATTTTTAATTTTAAAATACATAAAGTATCTCTCAAAAGCATTTTAGTCAAGTTTTCTCATCCTTTTTTTATCCGTCTTCAACTATTATAATTTGGCTCACTTACAGTATTTTATTAAGGTATGGAAACATCATAAATGTGATATTATGTTATATTTCATTTATTATCATTGTTTATATATCATTATAATATCATATTTTTAGGGTTATAGTTAGTTTGATTAATATTAAAAAATTATTTAATTTTTATAATGTTTTTGAGTGGATATTTTTATTGTGATAATCAAAACATTATAATACGTCAAAAATACTATAATTGATGATCAATTTTTTAAGGTAAAAATTAAATATTTTTAAAATTAAATATACTGTTAAAAATAAAAAATAAGAATAGGGATTAAATATATACCGATAATATTATTAATTTTAATGCTTATTAATTAAAGGAGTTTACACTAACAATCGAATGTAAGAGAGATCACATAATAAATTTAATAAGCCAAAAATATTATAATAGACGAGAAAAATTTTGAAGGAAAGTTTGAGTATTTTTAAAATTAAATATATTGTTATAAAATAAAAATAGGAATATCGATTAAAAATATCTAAAATATAAATATTTTTAAAAAAGTAATCCCAATAATATTATTAATTTTAATGTGTATTAATTAAAGAAGTTTTCACTAACAATCGAATAGGAGAGAGATTACATAATAAATTTGTTTGAGAATTAAATAATTATTTTCGAAAACATCGAATCACATTTCAGCTTAACGCGTTTGGGTGGTTTTGCGTCTCAAACACCCAATTCGTTGCTTCAACCGAACATAATCGGCGAGGAAGGCTCACCGGTGGAACGGCTATATAAACCAACGGCGTTACATTTCCCTTTGTGAGGCGTTTCTATCATTGGCCGAAGAAGAAGCATCAAATAAAAAAAGAGGGAAAAAAAATCACCGAGGAGGTGGGGAATCGCGGCGTCTTTTTCTACCAGTAGTGTGATCCACCGACTAAAAAAAGGGCAAGGGGGGAAAGAGGAAGGGGGGATGGAATTGGTCGGTTAGACGCCGAAGAAGAAGGGGGAGGCGAGCGAGGGGGCAGTAGATCTGGCAAACGTTGGGGGGTTGAGGGCGCGGAAGGCCGGGAGCTCGATGGAGGGCGAGGACGCCGAGGAGTGCCGGCCGTGGCGCCGGCGGCTGTCGTCGATGGCCGTCTCCTGGTCCGCCCTCTTCCGGGTCTCCTTCCTCTTCCTCCTCGCCGCTGCCATCGTCACCGCCTTCATCACTCTTCCCGTCGAAAAGGTACCCGGGTCGTCCTTGAATCGAGGGGTTTCTCGTTGTCTAATCGTCACAATCTGCGATGTCTTAGGCGGCATCACATTGTCGTGGTTTGTTAGCGTGTGATGAATGGTTCCGTTCGTGGAATGCGATGAGGATACGAAGCATGATCTGGTTAAACGATTACATGTGGCGAAGTTGTTCCTAGATCCATCTGTCACTGTTCTTTCTTCCTCGCGGAAAATTTATTTGGGTTATCTGTGTTTTTAATGATCAGTGTTAGAAATAATAAGGATGGGTTTCTTCTCCTACATTAGTTGTTAAAGCTTATGTCCGTACCCAATCTTCCCAAAAAGACTTGTCTCGATGGATTGATCAGCATTTAGTACACATGCTTGCATAATGTATCTGTAGCTAGATCGGCCGGTGATTTATATGCTTGTCGATGTAACCAGATTTTACAAGATAAACTGGGGCATAGGGTCAGCAGAGTCTGATTTTGAGGCCCTCGAATGACCAATGACAACATAAATAAACAGAAATGTAAATCTTAGCATGATTGTCACACTACCTAAACCTGACTCAGCTAGACCACCCAATTGCTCCAAGGTTTTATCATTTCACTTCTTCGATGTGATAATTTCTGATCTTAATTGATGAGCTGAATTAGACATCAAATATTTTAATCAAACTGTGGAACCTTAAGGTTTTATGATGAATAACTACGTAAGGTTCTCTCAATTAAAAATTTGTATGATTGTCCATTTCCTTCTTCTATTGCTAACTAGAGAAAGTCTTCCAAATCAATAATGACAATCTTTTTGCTCTACAAATCTCTGACTATGTTGTTGATGTTTGAGTTTTCAGTTGTACTGTGCATACCACCATTGCCATCTTTATCTGGATCTTCCAGTACTCCATCCATTTGAGAAAGTTTCTACATAGACAAAGTTACATGTGCTTGTATTTGGGTTTGTCTAGCTCATCTGCTATTTAATCAGCCATGACCTGCATTGCAATTCTTCAAACACCTTTACATTATTTTTTTGCCAAGTAAGAATCTGGTCCTGTTTAGCATTTTAGCCTGTATGCTATGAACATGTGGTTACTTTTTTGTTTCATCAATTTAACTCTCAGGAAACTCAAAATACTCGATTAACTTCCTCAAAACAGGAAAAAGTGTAATCTTCCCACTAACTTTCACTCAAACTGGATATTTTGTTGGTTTGAGGATTTAATGCATTCGTGAGCAATATTGCTGTAAAGGTTAATTGATGTTTATATTAACTTCCTCAAAACAGGAAAAAGCTTAATCTT